ATACCAGAAAAGAACATGAAAACTATACAGAAGCCGTTGAACATCATATTGAGCATGTTAATTAGAATAAATTGTAATATAGCATATACAACCCTCCAAAGATGCTGATAATGATAGAGAACATGTTTCTGTAGCCTTTAGAACCTTGCTTATTATTTCAATAATTATTTCATTTAATTTCAATTGTATAGGAGGAAGAAGTCTAGAAAAAAAATGTGTGAAAACATAAAGAAATGAATCTTTCGATTGGTGTCACTGATTACTGGCTGATTTAAATGGGCAAATTTGTTACCTAAACCCAATTCATAATCTTGTTTTGTCTCTTAGTCGTAAATACTCAGTTCTACATGGATTTACCCTGCTTTGTTTATGTATATTGTACAATTGATACAGTTTTGCTGGGTCCATGTGGAATTGAGTTACATTGCTTAACAAAATAATATGCTTTAGTGTATTTGCATATTCATATGTGTGTTTTATTACCATTTTTTAATACCAGAGTAGTCAATTTTTAAAGGAGTATACTGTAATTCCATAAGCAGTAATTTCACTATGTATTTATACGTGTAAGATGATTATTTGGAATTATGATTTGAAGGAAAAAACACAGTAAAGGACCCTTCATAAAGAAATGTTACTTGCTTGTTATTATTTGATTAAGTCCAGTAATTGGAGACATGTTATCGCGTTAATTTTATATGTATTGACTGCTAAAGCTGTCGTTATTTGTACCAGCTTTCAAACTCATTTTAAGTATTGAACGGGTATACAAATAATTAAATACTTGACTATTGTGGAAAGGTACTGAAATTTATGTATTATGCATTAGATTTCCTTTGAGTGGTTATAGGGAGGGAAGCTGGAAAGAGAGATGGGAGATAGGGAGGGTACTAAGGGAGAAAGGAAACACCATTTACCAACTCTGAGTAAACTTATTGTCCGGATACACATCATCTGGCTGGGAGAAACTGCGTATCTAATACATCTCTATCACTAAAATGTTTCAACTTTTTCTGAATTCTATCCATGCAAATCACTGAGCATCTTTTCATACTAAACCTATTCTTAGGTCATATTACTTAAGAATGTTGAGAAGTTCTGGGCCCAGTCACAACTAAGTTGAGTATCATTGAGTTCAAGGAGCCCTGAGTAAGATACCTAACTGTTGGATGAAAATAGCAGTTTATACTTCTTGTTGTTGCTGAAAGAATTTTAAATATGGATTTTATTAGTAAGAAGTTACTGATGCCTTAAAATATTCTTGGGTTAGCATTCTGTTCTGCTACAACCATTATCAGTTATGAAAAGCATCCTAAACCAGAGAATAATAGTAGTGGTAGTTAATCAAGTCAAAGGTGGAAGGGGTGGTTGATAAACTGGGTTTACCAGTTTTTAAACTGGTTGTGACCTGTGTTGACCAGGAAGAACTGAGAGATGTAAGCAGATGATTGACTGTGTTCACATGCGCTTCTCACAAGTTGCGATCAACTTTGAGACTAACTAGAAGAAAAAAGCATCATCATGTTAATTTTGAATATATTATAAAGGCAAATGATGACAGAAGTCGTCAAGCAGACAGCAGAATAGGAAGTATGTCTTAAGACTTCTAAGGGGCTATTACAGAGTTAATAAAGAGGTTTTTGCTACAAGGTTCTGCCTCAACTAAATGGTTTGCCTCCTAAAATAAATGAAAGGTATGCTACCATAAATAGACAACAAATGGTTCCTTGAGACCTTGATGAAAGCATTAATTTCTTTTTCTTTAGGTAGCAAAGCCTTGAAGCTATTTACTTGGAATGCTCTTTAGGGCTTGATCTCTCTTATTTTTTTTTAATATTTAATTACGTTATTCTTCAAAGGATGCAGCATCAGTGGTGAGGGGTAAAACAGGAAAAAGGTCAAGAGATATTAAACTTTAAAAAAAAATGACAATTTTTACTAATTGTCATAGCAACAAAGGAGTAATGGATCCTGGTGAGGAAGCAGAGGGGTGGAAGAGGTTAGTGTGCGCTCACAGTGGTACTGCTGAGCTGTTCTGTGACATTAGGCAGGTCATTCTAGGAGCCTGGCTCTCTTATTTTCTAATTATATGTTTTCAGAAAATATTACTCAGAACAGCCCTGGGAACTTAACTAATGCTCTCTGGTTGGGTGGGCTTTTATGCATTTGCGAGTTCGGTTTTGGTTTGTCTCTGTGGAAGAACTCTGCCCGCAGGTGGGTGATCAGAGCAGGAAAGCAGCTGCACTGCCATCACTGACATCCTTGGCAGGGGAGCAGCTCTGTCAAACCCTTGTTCTTACCATAATGGAGAGTAGCTGCTCTAATTTGTTTGCTCCCAGTTCTGTCATTTGCCCCTTTGTAAAGAACAAGTGAGCTCCTGGGAATGGAGGGAGACTATTTCCCCGGAGGAGGTACTTATGAGAAGAATAAACCTGGAGGAGCTTTTCTTTGTCACTGTAGCTTGCCCTGCTGTTGGTCCAGTTGAAGAGGCTGTAGGCAAGGCAGGGCAAGGATGCATTGGGAGGGCAACTAGGAGCCCTTAGTTCAGATGGACAAGAAGAGGTGTTGTGTTGAGCAGGGTGTACTTCAGCCTCACAGGATAGAGAGGATAGATGGAGCATGGTTTACCTCCTCTCTGGAGGTTGCAAGTGAAGACGATCCTGAAGTGCAACAATAAGGAGAAGGGTTGTATACAAACATTTTCCTTTTGGTCTATCTTACACAGGAGTTTTTTTAATTTAGAAACTGTGGTTCTGTTTGTGTTTGTTTGTTTTTTCCAAATCAAATGGAATTTGTTTCTTGATGAGGGCTGTGAATCACTGTTTTCACAGGCAGTCTCCTAAGATTTCAGACCACGCATAAGTTACTGCACAAAATGTAGAAGATGCTCAATTAGCACGAAATCATGCTCCTTTCTGCTGGTATAGCTTATCAAAGGATTCTCAGCTTTAATATCAGTGTGGAGTCAGTTGGATAGACAAACCTGTGTACTTCAACCTTTTGACCTCTTACTTCTACTGGTATGAAAAACATTTAGGTGTTGCTTAAAAACTGCAAGGATTATTCTCATGGACTTTTTCTCCAAGTCTTTTTCTTACATTAATAAAACAATATATAAACAAGGTATGTTGTACTTTCTGAGTTGTTTAATATGCCATTTGCTCAAACTTGAGCATCTAAATTTAAAAAGGGAACAAAAATATAGTAATAGCAGTGTGTTCTGTGTCTCAGAAGTAGTTTTCCTGCCCTGATAGTAAGTCAGGGAAAGAATGCAAGAAAAAGTCCTTGTGTTGCCTGTGTGTTGTTTTTGAAAGAGTTTGAAGAAATAATTATTCAAAAGAATTGAATTAGGTACAAGTGGTGAGTGTGAATAAGAATTGACATCTTATTGTGGTAGGAAAATACTTCAAACAATTAGAAGGAACCAAAAAAAATGGTTAGAAGTGAAGTCAGTTTACTAATTTAATGTATGTAACTGTTATATTTCTCTGCTTTCTATGCAGCAGATTGCTATATGGAGATCTCACAGACAGCTTGATACTTTGGGACAATAGCCTGGCCTCCTTCACGCTGATTTGCTATGTTGTCTGGGTTACATTGATGTTGGGAGCATATGAAACGTAAGGGGTGCCAGCATCTCATGCAGGATCTACTGACCTTTTTTGCTTGTGGGTGAATTGAAGAATTGGGCTGTGCATTATTGCTTGTAGATTCAAACAAAATGCCAGCTGGAGAGTGCATGAATAGCTTTGATTAGATGTTGGTGACTGTGGAGAAAATCATAATATCACATCAAAAGAAATGACTTTAGAATAAAATATACATGGGAAGAAAATGGAGTATGACTGTCACTTTTAATACATTGAGTATAGCCACTTGAGGTTGGTGGGGACTAGAGAAGAAAATTGCCTCATTGCTTCATTTTCCAAAGTTGCCTGTGGTGAGCATAGGAACAGGGAACAAGGAAGTGAACTCTCCTGGTGTGTGTTGCCTGCTCCCTGGATGGCAGAGGAGGGGCTTTCTTCAGCCATGACTCCCAGGGTGCCTTGTCCCCTGTCAGCAGTTTATCTCTTCTGAGACTGACTGTCATTCCTGTGTCTGGCTACAGACCCTGGTTTTCCAGGCAGGGCTTTGTGAAGGACGAGCTAACACCATTTCATGACCCCAGATGAAGCCTAAATAGTGATATTGCTGTACTCAGAGTTTACAGAGTAAAGATATCTACCTGAGAAATAACTAGTCATTTTATCTTCTGAGAAGCTAATCCTGTAGGGATTAGGTATTGTGAAAAGCTACTATTTTGCTGTCTTTTAATTGTAGCCCCTCTACCCATTTTATCTTTTCGGAGGATGCACTGTGTAAAGCTGCCTTCTCTGTCTGTGATTAAAACTTGGGAAATGGGGGACCTAAGCAGCTACACTTCACAGTCAGGCTTTCTTGTCTGTCCATGTTAGCCTTTGCCACTCACAGAAATACTTAAAAATTCACGAGTTGATAATTCATGCCTGAATTTACTGTTTATCCTAAGTTTGTGTCTCTTTATCCTTTGGATAAATAGAACAGTAAATCCCTCTTCAGAGTATATTGGTAAGGGCAGGCAGTGCTTAGAATTTGAAAATTTAATAAAAAAACAAGTACTGATACTTTTATGTTGTGCTAAGAATAACACTTTTTGTCTTCATAAGAAGTTATGATTAGACTTGCAAAGACACCCATCACTGAATGTTTTAAAAAGTTGTATAAATGGTATTACTCGTACTTTTCGATTTTTTGGTTAAATATTTGAGATCCTCTACAAAGAGAGACTGGTGACAAATACATTTGGACAGTTGTTTCATACTGTTTTTCACTGGTCCAGTGTTTGCAGAAAAACTTTCTATAGCTCCTGCTTAAACGTGTTTTCCAGATCTGATTGGTAATAATTTTATGCAGAGCAATATGGCTAACACATCTATCTAAATGTTTTTTGTTTGTTTGTTTGTTTTTTTAATATATATTAGGATGTTTTGAATAACTTGGGTTCCTGTGAGTTGGATGAAGATGACCTAATGCTTGACTTGGAGTTCCTAGAAGAACAACATCACCATCGTTCTGGTAAGTCAGATAAATACTGACCCTCTTCAGTGAGGTACTGTTATTGTAGAAATATAAAGTAAATGTTTTCAGTACAATTACTTGGAAATAAAAAGAAGTAATTTTTTTGGAAGGGGAATAGCAGTATGCATTTTGTTGTGTTATTTCTATATGTGTAATTGATCAGAAAAAATGTTCTTTACACTGCATTTGGATTTTATATGGTCAGTTATGAAATGGAATTGATTTTTACAGCTATGTAAGAATTTCAGCACCAAGGGCAGACCCGTCTGTTTTTCTAGATACTTAAAATGACTGCTGCCTACCCCAGGCATTTACTAAAAGAGCATTGCTGATATAATAGCTATCACATTTTGTGTGTGCCAAAATAATCTTCAGATAAAGAAGGTTTGACTTTATATGTGAGCATAACTTGATTGTTTCTCTCATGGGTTGGTTAAAGCCCTGTTGCACTGCCTTGATTAGTAGCAATAAACAAGGTCAATTCATAGAGTGTTCAGTACAGTTTTATAATAGATTATGCAAGGTTGTGCTAAGTTGTGTCACCTGACAAACGCTGCATTTCCTTTGACTGTGATGTGGGGCAGTGTAGTGTCTAGTCCGTGAATATGAAAAGTCCTGCTAATGCAAAAGGGTTTGGAGAGTCTTAAATCATACATGAGATTTGTACTTGATCACAGGTAGAGTTTTGATTTTGTATTCTGTTGTGTTACTCTGTTTTTTAAGCAGGAGTAATTCTCACCCTCTCTTTTACTTGCTGTTTTCTGACCCCTGTTTGTCCATTTACCCACATAGGTGCCAATAGTGCCCATTCCTGCAGACTCATGTGAAAGTGGGGTTTTTGAGCCATGTGCTGGCTGGTATGTGCCATCTGCAGTTTTGGGCCCTTCTTTGATGCAAATTTACCAATGGTTACAGTTAAACTGCTTGAATTATGCTCTTGTTTCAAATTTTCTGTGTATGATTATTCTGTGAACATATCTGAATTATCTGTATGATAATTCTGTTTAACCATTGTAGTGTGCTTTTTAAACCTGTCAACATATCTACTTGTATGATGAAACATCTATTTTATTTGGTAGATATTGTGGAGGGTTGTAGCAGCAATATGTGCATGATCACTGTTTCCTAAATTACTGGGAGTTAGGATGCAACAAATGAACTGCACAGAAAAGGCCCTTTCTAACCTGGACTGAATAATGCTATTAACTGGTTGCAGAAAGTCAACGTATGGGAAACATGCTTCAAACAGCTTAAAACAAATGTTAACATTTTATAAGAAATCATAGCATTTTGACTTGTTTATTCCCTGGACCTCTTGGAAACAAATTAACTGGCAGAACCATTTTCCATAAATAAACTTTGCTAACATGTTGCACTTGGCCTCACATGTGTTTTCCTCCTTTTTTTATATTTACAAAGCACTGAATTAATAGTGAAGGAAAACTCATGTCCGGCTTATGATTACAAAGATTTATAGCAGCTTCTGGAACAACTGAGATCATAATGCCTAAATGACATTATACTTGATAGAGAAGTAATTAAGATGGAGATGTGATATGACACATGATCTTTCTACTCTTGGCTCATTATCCAGAGCAAATGAGGTGCTTTTAAAACAGAGATCTGCACTGCCCTTTGAAGAATGGTGACCATTTCTATTCTGAGCAGTAACGTAGAGACTTATGTTGCAGTGTGCACATTGTCTTTAAAAACAAATGAGTTTATCTTAGTAATATTTGCTTTTTGATTTGTTTGTTTGGTGGTGGGTCTGTCTGCAAAAAATTTAGGATTTACCTAGTCGTCACTGTTGGTTTTGAGTCATTCAATTGGAAAAAAGAATTGGTAGGGTAGAGCCACAGTATAGGTTGACACAATTTGATATGTTGACACAATAAAGCTGATGTCTTTATGTTGTGTTAGGATCTGGCACAAAATGATTAGTGTGATTGTAAGTCATCCTCTTAATTTAAGATATTGAGATAAGAGGCTTGATTTTCAGAGTTTTTTTAGCGTTTGCATACCGCTGCAATACAGAAAACCCTTGAGTTAGATACTGACATCTAAACATTTTTTAAAAGTTGCTTTTCTGATTCCTGTGTTAAGCTGTTGCCCACTTCCAGGATTTAAGACTTTTCAACCAAAATTCTTTTTAGCAGTTCCAAGTCAATCCATTACCTGTTTTCACTTTTGGGCTTGCTTGTTTTTTTTCAATAGGCCTCTCCATTCCAGAAGTGATCAAGTGATCAAGCACGTTGAAGATATACAGTTAGTGTAATGCAGAACTTTAACCTTTTAAAAACTCAGCAAATTGAAAGTGATCATATTTCTGGACATGTACATATAAGCTTTTTCAGGTAATTGGGAAGCACTCTGTCTTTTAAAAGATCTTTAATCTTGCCCCCTTCAGAAACAAGAGGACAACAAATTACACACGGAGAATGAGCCAGCACTGTTATGGTAGAATATATTATTCTAATTGAATTTGATTAAAACCAAGGGGCTGCTTAATTCTTCGAGTATGCGAGTGGCCTGAAGAGTAGATGATTTTCCTTACTTTCTGGTAGTAGTAGGTTTGTTGGACTCTTTATAAAGGCTTCTTTAAGACGGTGGGCTTGACAGTTTACCTGTGGCTTGCCTCATTAAAATTTAGTCAACACAATCAGACATATAGGTTTGTGAGCCTTCTTTTCCCTGCTGGTATGTGCTGTCATATATAAGATTCAGCCCTATGTTATGTCAGCTTTACAGATTTCAGTGGTTTTGTTACTGTATTTGTTTACTTTCCCAACAAGTTCCTTGTGTTTCTCAAATACTTGAAAGGGATCTTTGTATCTGACATTCACATGTGTATCATACTGAAGTCATCTGGGAGTGTTCTATGTCTGTTATAAAAATGAAGGTGTTTGAGTGTAAAAATATGATAGAAAATGCTGTGTCTTGCATGGAAAGGTTAAAATTATTCTCTTCTGGAAGTCAGAGTTATTAACACTACTGTGACTATTTGTAGTACAATAAAAATCCTGTTGATGTTATACATACTGATGCTGATTATAGCATTTATTTGGCTAAGGCCTGCAGTCCTAGAGCCATATTACAATTCACTTCTGCCTCATTTGGCTCCCAGTAAGGAATTCTGTGGGGAATTACTGTAGGGAGAAATGTTCCAAGAGAAGCTCCTTTCAGTATTTTAAAAAATACATTGAAATATGAAGAGGTATAATTTTAAAAGAATTCAGTTCTTTCTTCAGTTGTTGCAGAGGGATAACTAGGGAATAGCTAAGGATAAGTAAACTTCAAAAGCCTATGAAAATCTTTAATGAGAAATTACACAAATACAAGGCTTAACATTGCATTTTTAACTTGACTATCACAAACTATTCTTTGGTCGGGAGGCTGTACGCAGCAAGCTGTGTCATTGAAACATAACAATTCTGAAGCATAGTGCCACAGTTAATAAATACAGTTGGCTGGTTAATGGCAAATTGAGAAAGTCTCTTAAATATTATTAGGAACTTTAGTTTTTTAGAAATTTTTTATTTAAGACACGATTTACAGTATTTTTTACTTTTAGCTGCTGTGGTTGTAAAGAACAGTATTTGCCAGCGTGAGGATATGTCTTTGACTTTGTACTGAAGTTTACAATATAATAATAATTTAACAAAATAATTGTATCATATCAATCAACCATAATTTTAGGGACCATTTATGAATAGGAAATAAGATTCTATTAGAAGGATTTCTGAGAGAAATGGCTATTAAGGAGTTTTTTAAAGAGGAGCGAGGAGCCAGTTGGCAGGCAAGGAGACATTGTTCCAGAAAGTGGAACACTGTATTAATTAAAATACAGAGTTAGAAAGGAGAAAGAGGCAAAGATCTGTTACCTCTTTCATTGTTTGTGTTTGTTTTTTTATTTATTTATTACTCCAACTCATTTTTTACTTGTGTTCTTATTCTGTCCTCTCAGCTTTTCCCTAATGAGCTAGTTGCCCTCCAGCAGCATCCTCATGAAATAGGGTTCCTGCAAAAAGGTGCTGTGAACCCTGATGAGTACTAGAAAATAATAAAAAAAAAAAAAACCCAAATCTTTTCTCTAACCATTCAATAGAAGATAAGGAGATACTTGCAAACCTCAGGCAGATGCTTCTACTTTGGATGTAGATTTCTGTGCCCTGCTAGTCCTAGCACAGCTTCAGAAGTCTTGAATACCCTCACTTCTGACCTTCTCCCTGTGAGTTTACTGCTTTAATTTACTGCCTTTGCTTCTGTTTTAAAGGCTGTATTGTCGAGATAAAGAATGTAAGACAGAGACATTTTATTATCCCGCCTAACACAATTGCTTTGAAATTTAATAAAATAATATTTATATAGTACTTAGTGAGTGGAGAGCACTACAGCATACAAATTCAAAATACTAATCAACTTGATTTGCTGAGAGTTTTGCCTACTGTTCTTAAGCTGGAATGCTTAAAATTAAGCATAATATGACATACATGATGAACCTTGAGGGTACCTTTTTATTGCTCTAGTAAATTAGACTTTTAAAACATGCTACAGCGTTGATTTCCTATTGCAAAATAATGAAGTTAGTGATTTCTGTAGCGGGAAACTATTACCAGTTTATAGAAAGTGACAGCATTAATTTAACCTCATTCATTTTCCTTTTCCCTCATGAAACAAGACGTATTTGATTTCAAGTATTGATTAGTCAAATGTATGAGGAAAACCTTTATATTCAGTGGTATAAGCAGGGGGGAATTTATTCAAGTAATGCACGTTAATGTACATGAACTGTGTGCTTGTGTTGTGCCGTAGCCGATTGAAAACCAAATGGTTTTATACGGTTAGTTGTCATTAAATCAAGACTGCAGTAAATAGTAGCCTTTTCTGAAAGTTCACAAAAGCACAGCTATCCAAGGGCTTTTGTAATTTCTTAAGTGTTTGCCACAAGTGTAATAAAACCTGTGCCCTGCCTCTTCTTACAAAGCTGTGTGGATGTA